CATTTGAACAAACTTTGTAGCCCTTCATCTCAGCATGCTACTGGCCAAATATCATCACCCTGGGCATTTTGGTTATTCAGAAGAAGTTATTTAAAGGTTTTTTAAGACAATTGACCCCTGTGACCTTGAATATAATTGAAGGTCATTCATTTGAACAAACTTGGTAGCCCTTCACCCTAGCATGCTACTGACCAAATATCATCTCCCTGGGCAGTTTGGTTATTGAGAAGAAGTTGTTTAAAGTTTTTAACATATTTGACCCCTGTGACCTTGAAAAAAGATGAAGGTCAGTTATTTGAACAAACTTGGTAGCCCTTCATCCCAGTTTGCTTCTGGCCAAATATCATCACCCTAGGCCTTTCGGTTATTTAGAAGAAGTCGTTTAAAGTAAAATATTGACGCCGGACGCCGGACGACGGACGCCACACCACGGCATAAGCTCACTTGGCACTTCGTGCCAGGTGAGCTAATAATGAGATCTTGTTTGTTGATAGTCTGCTGTTTACAATCGCGATGGCGCTTGACAAAATTGGCTGTTGCCATCAAACGTTCTTGTGACCATCACGGTGGGGAAACGAAGCGGTGAGTGCACATTTTTCGCGCATGTGATATTTTTCTCATGGAAATATCACCCGCGCCCCTTAAAACCAATGTATTTTCGGAGGGTGACAGAGATTTTTGTTTAATTTTCTCCCAACCAATCAAATAGCTAGAAATTCACTTGAGGTGTATCAATAAAATTTGGCAAAATAAAATCCTTGGTGATTTGTCAATAAATGATGACATTCAAACTGTCCTGACTTAGAAAATGCTTTGATGAAATATTGAAACAAATAAAGAGATTCTTTGAGTTTGAAAGGCAAACATTGAGGAAAAAATAAACACTATTTATGATGCAAATGTTGAAATCAAACTTTGAATACATAATTTTATGACATTTGATAAAACAGTAACTTTTACATTATCTATGGGAAATTAAATAATATCAAAACCTTAATAGCATGACAACAGACTAGGTAATGTTATACAACAAGCTGATGATGAAGATATCCACTTACTGGTGTGGGTCGGGGTCGTGGAGAAAGTTCATCGTCTCGGTCTCCATATCTTTGATCGGGTGATTCATTTTCTTCTTCCCCACTATCTTCTGCCTTTAGTCTGAAAATACAACAATTCCGTTTCACTGATGACAATTTCAGAGTTTAAGCACAGTGCAGAAGTCACAAGAATCGTCTTGTAGTCACACAAGTACGTTATTTGAACAGTATGTACCGCTTACTGCAAAGTAGGAACAAACTCATACCAGTGGTATAGAAGTGAAAGCAGGAAAGAGCATCTACTTATTACTTATACTACAAAGCACTGTTTTTACCTACATTTTACAACAGCCTGTTCCTTTATGAATTGGGAAAAAATATAACATTAATTGTATTGAAATTGGGAACATATTCCTCAGTTTTTGGTAATTTTGGGAAGTTAAGGCACTATTTAATAAGCTAGGGGAAACAGCCTGTATTCGTCAGTAAAACTGAGTAAAAATATCACTGTTAACTCATTCACCCCTGAAGACACATTTGGACTCTTTCAATTCAATGGCTAGAATAGTTCATAATGAAATATCTGGGGTGAATGAGTTAAGTATGAACAAAATTGTACACATAGAATAAAAGTTATAACCATACAATTTTTGAACAAATCAGGTGTTATGGACGGTAACCTTGTCTTACAGCTATCTTAGATGTTGGGGTCCTTTTAATAAATTGTTATATTATTCACTTAGCAGGGGCTAAAACTTCCTGAAGTCGGAGGTCTGAGGACCCCAATAAAAGACTAGCGGACTTACCCAAAAACATGGTAAAACATGTTCACCTGTTGGACCTAGATAGTCCTAATATGTAAAAAATACTGACACTGAGTATCTTTTCATCAAGTCATGTTACAAACACTATACACATGTTCTACATCATGTACACCTACATTTCTGATGCCAGGAAAAAAATGTCATGGAAATTAAAGGGGTGTTTTAGAAGTATCTTTCATGCACAAATTCTAAATGCATCCCTACTAAGGGTATCTGCCTCAAATTAATAGTGGGACATAATTATATACTAAACACAGGTAATACATATTCGGAATATTATTTTTTAGATTCCCCCTTTTCAATTCAAGACAGATATATACCTATTCCTGTACCACCATATACTTTTGTATTATATTTTAATTGAAAACATGATGATTTGACCCCAAAAAAACTTTATTGACACAGTAAAATGTTTATCATATGTTTAAAAAATGATGTTTTTCAACAAGATCCCTGGCTATAAAGCAAATACTATATTTTCATTCCAGAATGAAAACCCGTCTCTGCATGCAATTGTTGTCTTTGTAAACAGCATGTTTATATTAATCAAGCAGGTCACTCAAAACACGATCTCCAACATGTAACAATTCATTCTATGTCAACAAATCCCTTTTTAAAAATATATTTTATAATTCAATATGATCACTTTTACATAAAAAATATTGAAATGAGAGGCTATCCCTCAACTGAGGGGTTTTTCTATTTGTTTGACTTTCATAAATATCATTCGAGCTCTTGACCTTTCACGTAAATACCAACCAAGAATGGCAAGATTAACGTTACATCCGAAGTATTTGACAAAAGCACAATCAAACCTGTTATGCTCATTTTCTGGCTTCATGTTTGGCGATATTTGTTTATACAGATTTTTGATAGACTTGTCTCTCTTCTTCACAACACCATATGCTGAACTATCGCTGCCTAACACATATAGCTGGTACGTCCGCTTTAGTCAAAGTTTGTGTCAAAGATCGCTCACAACACGTGTCTGCTATCGACAACAACGCTATCCATTTCATGACTGAACCTGTTTAATTCGACCCAATATTTGGCGAATTGCTCAACTTCATTATTTCCAAATGAATGCAATTATTATTTTCCTTTTACAACCATTACAACAATTAAACAATCACTGTATTTATCAAGTAATTTCAAATTTAGATATGAAGTTTAATTTTAAAAGACATTTCAAGCGGGTACACCTCAAAAGGGAAAGGAGGTTGAGCATGGTGACGTCACAATCTGAAATCTCGAGCGATCGCTGACAAGTGCACCCGACGTTCCTCTAATGTTATCCACTTCAGGCAGCGATCTTTCTGCCTTGGGCAATGTGACTGCTTCATTTAGGATGCAAAATGTTAACAATTCCTGCATATGTCATTAAAGATTACAAATAAAGATGTAAAACCGATAACTTACGCATCGAATTTGTTGTTCATTTTCTGTGTTTACGCCGGAACACCCTGCTCCCCTAATATGTCCAATGTTAGCTTATCATTGATTGGTTGAATAGTACTCACTTCCTTTACATTTTCATCAACTGAAACGTGATTGGTTTGTGTATTGTAAAGGAGCAAATATGGCGGCAATTAGCACCAAACAGAAGCTTTTGCAGCTTATTGAAGACACAGAAATAATATCTAAGTAAGGTTATGAGAAATTGTAAACATTGAGTGATTTTATGTAGCTAAGACGAAGGCGTCTTGTTGTTTTGGAGAGGTTTCATCCCACACATATTTAATTGACGGACCCCATTGTTGAACAGTGCTATGGACTATGGTCCTAAATTATGTCAGGTCCTTAATCCTGTCTTTCATATTTTTTTTATAATGATACATGTGGTGACACCCTTTGTTCTGTTAAGACCACATATGTTTTAATATGCAATAGTTGTGCCCTAATAAGTGGGCATTTACATAAATGCTGTATATGTTATACTTAATTAAAGTATAAATTAAATACATATATTATATAATATATACTAATATAGACAATATGAATATATCCCTATTTTGTCTTATTAGCTTTACATAATAGTTTGACATACTTAGCAAAGGACGTCCTTGTCAACTTACCCTTGTATGAGCTTAAAAAGGAGCCTAAAGAAATTTGAAGATATACATTTATTACTTTGAAGTTTGGTTTACATCTAAAATGATGTCGGTGAGATTGTAAAATCTTTACCCTAGTTAAATTCCAACTTTCTACATAGTTAAATTCCAACTTTCTACATTGGAGTACACTATGGTTTTGGTTGGGTATTACAGTGACTGTGCTGTAGTATTCCAGTGGTATGGCACTACAAATGAGCTGTTGGAAATACAGACTCATAACAAGCTGCTCCATGTACATCTTTTATCTCTTAAATATTAAACACCTTGAATAATACTCCTTGATATTGAAAAGAGACCTGCAGGTATACAAACGTTGTCTAATGATGTCTTCTAACAAATGACAAAAAGTCCTTATCTTCAAAGTTTTTTCATGGTTCAACAACAGCCATATAACAAAATTTGGCTTTTTGTTGTTTGTAGATGTATATTACTGTAATAAATAATCTTATAACCTTATTATGTGATCGAAGGTATTAGCCTCGTATGTTTATATTATGGGTGTATTGACAAACTACAAGGCTAGTACCTTTGAGTGATGTGATACATTTCTATGCTATCTGTTGATTTAATATTTTTTTCTCATTCTCTTATTTTTACAGGGAAATATTTGAACTTATGAGCACACCAAAACAACAACAGCGAGCTGATGCACCCGAGACCCAGAAATTAATGGAACTTTTGGTTTTAAAAGATAAAGAAATAAAGGAGAATCTAAAAATAGGTACTAACAGATCATCTGTAGTTACATTTTTAAGTATTTTTTTTTTTTGTAAAATTTGGCCTATGGCCCAATTAAATGACAAGAAAATCTCATTTTACAAACTTTTTGAAAAATTCCGGATAATCCCAGAATGTTCGATGGTAATCAAAGATTTTACAGATACAATGAGAGACATTAGTGAGTTATTGCCCTTGCTTCGTCACTAGATGGCACTGCTACCAACTTAATTGGTTCTACAAATAAAATACTGACGATGGCCTCACATGCCAATGCAACAAGACACACAAAGATATTTTCAAAATATTCATCAGCAGAACAAGCAGAATACTCAAACATTTTCTTATTTGAAACAGTATTGTAATTATTTACTGTTAAAAACGAAACTTGTTTAATAAATTAATTAAATGTAAAAGCGTTTGCATCTCATGTTGAAAAACTGTTAAAAAGAAATTAAAAATAAAACAATAAAAATTTTCATTTGAAATGTCTTCATTAAAATCATTATGCATTTAGGGAAACATAAAGGCCTTTCATATATTTATATGCTTCGGATATTTATAGAATGTGTTTTATTTGATTCTATACTTGCAATTCTACGTATAGTTAGCATTAAGTTCATCAGACCAACTTGGTTGCAGCGCCATCTGCAAGGCAGATAACTCACTGTTTTCTCTCATTGTAGCTGTACAGGAACACTGCTACACTTTAAACTGACCTGTTAGATATAAGATGAAGGCCTACTTTGAATTTGTAATTTATAGCTGCAGAACAAGCCGAGATACAGAAAACTGTGGATGAACTGAAAACAGAAGTGGATAAACGTGACACAGATATCAGGAACCTTCAGAAGAATCTCAAAGAAGCTGAAACTATATTGGTAGAACCTAAATTTTATACATGAAAAATCTGTAATTCTGAGTTATGAACAAACTTCTGAGTCCGACTTACATCCTGTGTTTTGCTTTAATTAAATATTTTTACATAGAACATCTCAACCTTAACTTCTTACGTATTACATAAAAAAACAATTATTACAAATATGGTTTATTTGGAGTATTTCTAGGGCATTTAAGATTTTTCACACAGGTTCTCTCCCCTGAAAAATTAATGAATGTCTGTGTGGACAAATTACAATTTTAAGTTGAGTTTAGTATTGACAAATGGAAAATATTTTTCTTTATATTTCTTCCTCTTAGTCAACTGCTATCTATCAAGCCAAACAGAAGCTGGAAGCCATTAGACAAGCAAATAACAAGACTATATCTTCAGAGGAACTTATAAAGTTTGCACACAAGATCAGCGCCAGTAATGCTGTTGCATCGCCACCGACTTGGACACCAGGTATGTATCAGAGGATTAGTGTAGCTTCTCAACCAACCTGAGTCTCAGGTAAGTATCCCAGAGTCAATATAGCTTCTCCAACAATCTTAGTCTGAGGTAACTACCCCAGGGTTAGTGTAGCTTCTCCACCGCCATCAATTCCAAGTTAGTATCCCAGGGCTTTGCTACAGACCTGGATCCCAGGTTAGTATCCCAAGGTAATTAGTTTTGCTACAGACCTGGATCCCAGGTTCGTATCCCAAGGGAATATAGCTTTGCTACCAACCTGGATCCCAGGTTAGTATCCCAAGGTAATTAGCTTTGCTACAGACCTGGATCCCAGGCTAGTATCCCAAGGTAATTAGCTTTGCTACTGACCTGGATCCCAGGTAAGTATCCCAAGGTAATATAGCTTTGCTACCGACCTGGATCCCAGGTTAGTATTCCAGGGCTACTGTAACTTCACTGACCTTGATCCAGGGAGTGTATCCCAGTGTTATTGGTAATTAAAGGACATTTATACATTTCACAGTATTAAATTGAAAAAAAATAAAAAATAAGATATTCAGTTCGTTGACTATTTTGCTTGCAGTGCAATATACCTCATAGCAGCTATCCCTGTCTTTGTCTTGCTCACAAAACCCATAGACCAGGTTTCTCATTCATGCATACTTAATTTTGTGCTAAAATAGTACCCATAACTTATCCAACAAAACCCTGAAAGTGTCATTATCAAAGGTTTTGCAAAGAAACTAGAGATATTTGTATGATGAAAAGAATTCATAACTATCTCCTATAGAAGAGATCAAATAAAATTGAGACATACTGGTAACTTTGCTGATGAAAACCTATTTTGTCTTGAAGGTGATCCTAGGAGGCCATATCCCACTGACTTTGAAATGAGACTTGGTTTCCTCGGGAAATGCAGTGGTGACCTACCGATCAACGGTCAACAGTTACAGTCTCAGGGGTCGTATGGAGAACCCATGTCCAGTAATAGGACATCGGCCGGACTAGGAGGTAAGTTTTATTTCTGCTAGCTAGAGATATCAGTTTAACCATTTCACCACTGTAGCCCATAATGGATTCATCCAGATCAATGCATGGGAGAGTCTATTAAAGTTGTATAGGGGTGAAAAGGTTAATACGTTGTCCGGGATAATATCAACATTCCCTGTCCTGGAACATGATGTTGGCTGTAGTAAGTTGTACTGTTGGTAACTCAACCATTAAAATGAACTGATATATGGAGAACCTGAACCAGCCAAAAAATTCAACAGCAATGTAAAGTAGACTTTCTACAATAAGGATTTGTCTCGAAACCAACCAAATTATTTTTCCTCAAAGGTCGTATTTGCAAACCTCGGTTGAAACGGTTCAGGTGTCACAGAATTATTCCGCGATAAATGAACGCAATTGGACCGACCTGTGGGAGGAACTAAAAAATGCACAGTTTGGGAATTTTGTGACGAAAAAACAATATATCAAGGATAAAATGTCCTTCTTTCATACGTCAACTAAATGATATGACGGATCGTAAAATATACATGTCGATCAATTTTGTTATATAAAGAAAAAAGGAAACTAGAGATAGTCAGCATTTAAGTTTCTGTCAGGCAAGTCTGGACCCCGCGATATACACATGCCAAATATTCCTGTGGTCAGCCTCGGTTCGGATGTGAGCCTGTCGTTTTCTTTCAGGTTCGACCATTTCAACTGGTCGAACTGGATACATGAAAGGGGCCAAAGTGTATAGTTAACCCTTTCACCACTGTAGACCATAATGGATTCCTCCAGATCAATGCACAGTAGAGTCTACTAAAGTTACATAGGGGTGAAAGGGTTAAGACAGAGTACAATGTATAACTGATTGTATCTCCAGATTCCATGTTGATGCTGATCATGAATTAAGAGCAAATTTTGTTTTCCTTACACAGAACCAACATCTGCAAGCACACCTTCCTCAGTATCTTCATGGCAACCGCCACCGGAGTTACATCATTCCTTGTCAACAGGAAGTGGGGGAGCGTCAGGTTTCCTGACGGAGATAAAAGGACATAACAAGGAAAATGAGGATGTGGGCTTCATGTCTAGTGACTCGTCTAGTAGTTCATCAAGTGATGAATAAAATGTGGAATATTTATTGTCAACATGTGTTCATGGTGTTTTGAATTACTATGGATTCCATTATGTCATGTGGTTTGGTTTGATTTTGTTTAACGTCCTATTAATAGCTAAGGTCATTTAAGGACGTGCTACCATGTGTGTTGTGTGTATGTGTGCTGATATGTTGGTGTATTTGCCTCCTTGTGATAGCACGGATCTGATGCAGACTTTATAGTGCTATCTCACCGAAATACCAAGCCGAAGTCAAGCAGCACAGCATTCCGCCCGGTCACATTATACTGACAACAGGTGAACCAGTGGTTGTCATAAACCTCAATGAGGTATCGCAATGTTGATGTTGTTTATTGCAGTTTAACTAGATCAGTAGAGTGATGGCTGGATTGTGGAACAACTAGACTGGTGTTTGCTAAATACTGTATAAATGTTAAATTTTGCATGACTTATATTTGGCAGTTGGCCTGATCAGAAGTAGTTTGCAGGGGTTAAATGAATGTCTAGCAACATTGCAAGGTAAATATATTGTGCTCATGAGAGTACTTTTGTATTTGGGTGGTAGGATTAAATTTTACACATGTTTTATTTATATAAATATTTATTAAATTGGCATTTTATCTCCATGATTCGGCAATTAAATAGTGAAAAGGTCTTTTATCTGTGTATGTTCATGGTATTTATATTCGATTGGTATTTTATTTTGCACTCTCTTTAGTGACCACAAATAAAGCAAAATTAAATTCCCCGCAAAAATTATCAAAATACAGTAATGGCACAACAGGATCAGTAATGGCTTGATTGCAAAACAATTAGACTGATAGTGCTGAATTATTTTAATTTACATTTTTTTTTTTTATAAATTTCGATATTTTGAACTCACAATGCAGGGACAAATAGGGTTCATACAGTCTTGGGGATTAAATCAGGTATAAAAAAAAACTAAATTCATTAAGTGTGGACATTCTTCTTCAAGGTTCGGGAGGTCACCTAGTCCTACACATAATATTAAGCAATACAACAGAAGGCCCAGATGGCCTGTATCGCTCACCTGGATATCTGAAAGTCATGTGATTTAAAAAATGTGCACAATTTCGAATTCTATGATGGCAGTACTAATACAGTTATGAAAACTTGGATTCAGGAAAAGCTTCTCCTCTTTCATTTATAGTGTTGAGGATTATTAGAAAAGATGAAGATAAGGCAGTATTGAGGATTGTCCATCTTCCAAATCCAAGGTTTACATTCCTGTCAGCATGTCTCCTACAGAGAAAGTAAGAGAGTGCAACCTCTGGAATTTGGAGCATGAAGATTGGCTTGACAAACCATATTCAGACTTGAGGAGTGCAAGTTCAGACAAGGTTCATTATTGAGGATTGATTGTTCAGGCAAGGTTCATTCTTGAGGATTGTTTGTTCAGGCAAGGTTCATTCTTGAGGATTGCAATTTCAGACAAAGTTCATTTCTGTAGGATTGGTAGTTCAGACAAGGTTCATTCTTGAGGATTGGTAGTTCAGACAAGGTTCAGACTTGAGGATTGGTAGTTCAGAGAAAGTTCATTCTTGAGGATTGGTATTTGGGACAACATTCAGACTTGAGTACTGTAAGTTTAGACAAGGTTCAGACTTGAGGATTATTTTCAGACAGGAAGATGATTGTTCAGGCAAGGTTCCGACTTGAGAATTGTAAGTTCAGACAAAGTTCATTCTAGAGGATTGGTAGTTCAGACAAGGTTCAGACTTGAGGACTGTACATTTAGACAAGGTTCAGACTAGAGGATGATTGTTCAGACAAGGTTCAGACTTGAGGATGATTGTTCAGACAAGGTTCAGACTTGAGGATGATTGTTCAGACAATGTTTAGACTTGAGGACTGTATGTTTAGACAAGGTTCAGACTTGAGGATGATTGTTCAGACAAGGTTCAGACTTGAGGATGATTGTTCAGACAAGGTTCATTCTAGAGGATTGGTAGTTCAGACAAGGTTCAGACTTGAGGATTGGTAGTTCAGACAAGATTCATAATTGAGGATTGTAAGTTCAGACAAGGTTCATTTCTATAGGATTGGTAGTTCAGACAAGGTTCATTCTTGAGGATTGGTAGTTCAGACAAGGTTCAGACTTGAGGATTGTAAGTTCAGACAAGGTTCATTCTTGCGGATTGGTAGTTTGGACAACGTTCAGACTTGAGGATGATTGTTCAGACAAGGTTCATTTTTGAGGATTGGTAGTTGGGACAAGGTTCAGACTTGAGGATGATTGTTCAGACAAGGTTTATTTTTGAGGATTGGTAGTTGGGACAAGGTTCAGACTTGTGGATTGGTAGTTGGGACAACGTTCAGACTTGAGGACTGTTTTTCAGACTGGAAGATGATTGTTCAGGCAAGGTTCAGATTTGAGGATTGTAAGTTCAGACAAGGTTCATTCTTGAGGATTGGTAGTTGGGACAAGGTTCAGACTTGAGGACTGTACTTTTAGACAAGGTTCAGAGTTGAGGATGATTGTTCAGACAAGGTTCAGACTTGAGGACTGTACGTTTAGACAAGGTTCTGACTTGAGGATTGTAATGTTCAGACAAGGTTCAGTCTTGAGGATTCGTAGTTTGGACAAGGATCAGACTTGAGAATTATTTGTTCAGACATGGTTCAGCCTTGAAGTTTGCAGATCAGTAGTTTGGACAAGGGCCAGACAGACATGAGGAAGTTAGGGGGGTATACTGGAATCAGCTTGTCTGTCTGCCTGTCCGTAGACAAATTTTGTCTGTACAAATTCCTTCTAAAGTAATGGACCGATTTAAACAAACTTTCCAGAGATAATAACTACCACCTGAAGTTGTGCATCCAGGTATTATTTGGTTATTCTGCCCTTTATTTAAGAAGTTATGGCCCTTTGTTGAAAAATACTTGTCCTCACAACTCCTCCAAGACTATGCGGCCAATTTCAACGAAACGTTTCAGGTATGATAACTATCCCCTTATGTTGTGCATCCAGGTATATTTTTCCAGTGGCGGATCCAGACACCTATCTGGGGGGTTTCCAAATTTCCTGGGGGGGTTTCCATGTGGGGAAAAATTAAGGAAAGTGGTGAAAATACATGATTTTTAAAGAAAATTCTCAGGGTGGGGGGGTTTCCTGAAGCCCAGAAAACCCCTCTGGATCCGCCACTG